CGCGAGATCGAGCATGAGATCGAGGAGAGATTGCGGAGGCGATCTGGTAGGCGATCAAGGGATCGATCCATCGAGGATCGAGTCGTCGATCGGGGGTCGGGAGATCAATGAGGTCGAGAGTCGAAGAGCGGATCGAGGGGAAGATCGAGGATCGATGGGATTTGTCGGGGATCGAAGGATCGAGAAATCGAGAGATCGAGGATCGAGGAGATGGAAACTCGATCGAGGATCGACGGTGGAGGAGCTAGGATCGAGAATCGAGGATCCAGGACCGAGGATCGAGGATCTAGGATCGAGGATCGCGTCTCCATCGTCGCCACCATCCTCGCCAGCTTGATCATCATAGTAATGTTGATGATCATCATCACAAGCGTGGTCGTCGCCACCAACATTGCGAGCAACGACATCATAATCTTAACATGGGCACCGCAGTCGTGATCGCCATCCTCGTTGTCCTTCTCATCATCATCACCATCATATCCTCATCATCTTAAGCCGCCATCATCATCACCATCGCAGACCATATGGGCATCACAATCGTGATTGTCGTCCTCCTCCAACTCTCCCTCATCGTCATTTCCATCGTCATCATCATCACCATCACCATTATCACCATCATCATCATCATCATCATCATCATCGTCATCATCATCATCATCATAATCATCATCATCCTTATCACCATCATCACCATCGCCAGCATCACCATCATCACCATTATCATCGTCGTCGCCGCAGTCGTCGTCGTCGTGGTGGTCATCAACCTCGTCAACATCAACATCAAATCTACGGTCAGCCTCAGATTCCCCAATCAGTGCTTGCACTGAAGGGGTCCTGGCGGAAGTTGAAAGATTGTAGTGGCCTCCGGCCAGTGCCGTCGATCCGGGGCGCTCCGCAAGATGATGATCAGGATGATGCTGCAGGGGAGAGAGCAGGGGAGGGGGTCTGCTCTGCAGGGGGAGTCCGCTCGGCAGAGGGAGGGGCTGCAGGGGAGAGGGGTGGTCCGCTCTGAAGGAGGGGGGGGCTGCAGGAGAGGAAGTCTGCTCTGCAGGGGGAGGGGGGGGGCAGGGGAGGGGGGGGCGTCCGCTCTGCAGGGGGGGGGCTGCACGGAGCGGGGTCCGCTCTGCAGCTGGGGGGGAGGGGGGCTGGGCTGCAGGGGGGGGGGGGGGGGGGGGGGGGGGCGGTCCGCTCTGCAGGGGGGGGGTCCGCTCTGGGAGGAGGGGGGGCTGCAGGAGGGCGGGTCTGCTCTGCAGAGGGGGGGGAGGGCAGGGGGAGGATTCGCTCTGCGGGGGGGGGGGGGGGGCTGCAGGGAGGAGGTCCGCTCTGCAAGGGGGGGGGGTGCTCTGCAGGGGGGGGGGTGCAGGGGGGGTCGCTCTGCAGTGGGGCGGGGGGGCTACAGGGGCGGGGTCCGCTCTGCAGGGGGGTGGGGGTGGGGGGGGGGGGGAAGGGGGGAGCGTCCGCTCTGCAGGGGGGGGGGGGGGGGGCACGGAACGGGGTCCGCTCTGCAGCGGCGGGGGGGGCTGGCTGCAGGGGGGGGGGGGGGGGCGGTCCGCTCTGCAGGGGAGGGGGGTCCGCTCTGGAAGGAGGGGGAGCTGCAGGAGGGCGGGTCTGCTCTGCAGCAGGGGGGGGGAGCAGGGGAGGAGAGGGGGATCCGCTCTGCAGGGGGGGGGGGGGGGCTGCAGGGAGGAGGTCCGCTCTGCAGGGGGGGGGTTGCTCTGCAGGGGGGGGGGTGCAGGGGGAGGGGGGGTTCGCTCTGCAGTGGGGCGGGGGGGCTACAGGGGCGAGGTCCGCTCTGCAGGGGGGGGGCTGGGCTGCAGGAAGCGGGAGGGGGCGTTCTGCAGGGGATGGGGGGTTCCGCTCTGGGAGGGGGGGGGGGCGAAGCACTGAATTAGGTCGGAAATGAGGTCCCCCCTCCCCCCTCCCCCGAAGCACTGAATTAGGTCGGAAAAGGTCCCCCCCCCCCCGAAGCACTGAATTAGGTCGGAAATGAGGTCCCCCCCCCCGCAGAGCGAAGCTTGAGCGAGCTCAAGCCCACGCTCTCAGAAACTCACACGCCGGATCGGCGGATTTGGCGAACGTTTCCCGCCGATTTTGGTAGCAGGCTGGGTTCCCGGGTTCCCGGTTCTGGGTTCCCGGGTTCCCGGTTCTGGGTCCCGGGCCGATTTCGGTGGCCGGCGAAGTTCCCGGGTTCTTGGGTTCCTGGTCGATCCTCTTATCGACCAGTCTCACCATCGATCTCATTACCAAACTTTCTATCGATCTCACCATCGAGCTCACAATCGATCTCATTATCGATCTCGCAGGCGATCTCACTATAGACCGCACGAGCGATCTCACGATCGATCTCAATGTCGATCTCATTGAATTGACTTCATTCTCGGTCTCACGATCGACCTTACAACCGTCCTCTCTATCGATTTCACTATCGATCTCACTATCGATTTCAAGATCCATATTACTAATCTTCAAAACAACCACTGATTGGGTTTTTCTCTGGTGTAATTTGTTTGAGATAACGAAGGTTATGTGATTTACCGCAAGTTTTTCCAGGTACGGAGACATGCAAAGGCACTCTCAGACATCCGAAGACATCCGAAGACACAATCCAAACCCTAGCACTTCCCGCACCTTCCGCACCTTCCGGGAGGTGCGGAAAAAGTAGGGCCAGGGAACATGTTTGGGTTCAAAGAACATGTAGTGGTAGGCTCATAGGAGTTCCGGGACGGTCGGTCCCTGCTTAACAGGGGGGTGCAACGACAGGACTCGAGTAGGGGATCGATTACCGAAGTGATTTACCGTAACCCCAGAATTGATTTTCTCGTGGTGTTTTCGTTGTTTTGGTCGGATGTGTGTTCGTCGTTTTTCGAGACGGAGGCCTTTCGTTGATGTCGGCCTCTCGGGGCCCGAGCCGGGACCCGGGACCGTCAAAAAGCGACTCGGGATGAAACACCGGCTCTGGGAAAGTGGTCGGAAGGTCGAGGGCCCGTGTTTCGAAAGGTGAAAACGTCGGGATGTTTGGGAGTAGAGGATCGACTGCCGAATTGGTTCACCCCACGCTTATTTTTCTCGCCGAAGGCATGCACAATGCGTAGAATGTTCGTAGCACTACGAACATTCTTCGAACATTCTACGCATTATTATTCTGGGAGACGGAGGTTTTTTTTAATCGATGTTGGCCTCTCGGGGTTCGCGCTGGGCCTCGGGATCGTCAAACAACGACTCGAGATGAAAAACCGGCCCCGGGGAAGTGGTCGGGAGGTCGGAGGCCCGTGTCTCGAACAGGTCGAGACGTCGGATGTCTGGGCAGGACTCGATGAGGAGATCGACCGCCGAATTGACTTGCCCCACGCTTACTCTTCTTCGTTGAATTCAGGAGTAATGCGTAGAATGTTCGTAGAGCTACGAACATACTCTCTACGCAGTGTTCAGGGGTTCGACGAGCAAATCAAGTTTGGGGTAACGCAATTCTGCTGTCGACGCCCTACTCGTAAGTCGGGCACGTCCCTCTACAGGAGGAATCCTCAACAATAGTCAAAAAATAGTCTGGGGACGATTGCTCTACCATTTTTGAGGATTATTAAGTAGTTTTTTTTCATTTTTCGTCCAAAATCCGCCTGTCGGGGGCAGGCCCCACCTAACCCTACTCGGGGGGGGGAAGCGTCGGCCGCCCCTCCCAGCGGCGAAGCTCCGCCCCGAGCCCCGCCGATCCGCGCGGCAGGAGGCCACCTTTGGCGGGCGGCGGGGCCAGGCATGGCTCGGACGCCGTGGGACGCGTGGCGGCATTCTGACCCCTACCCCCGCCTCCAAACGACTCCCTAGACCCCCCTCGAGCCATGAACAAAACCACGACGGGCAGTTTTGTTGCCATTCTCGGTTTTGTGGGGGCCCTGGCCGGGCCTCGGGGCCGTCCAGGAACGACTCGGACAGACGAGCCGGTCCTGGGGAAGGGGTACCCCAGACCTCCTGTTGTCGGGGGAGCGTAAGACCCGGGTTTGCCAGGACTCGGGTTCGCCATCGTTTTTTGACGACCGCGACTCATATTTTGACGAGTAGGAGTTTCGTGGGATGTCTGCAGCGGGAGGCCTCGTCAAAATGCAGGCTCGGCCTCGTCATTTTTTTGACGACCTCGTCGGGGATTTCCGAGTCCCCTGTACCCGGGTCTTACGTCCCCCCGATGTTGGGCGCTGCGTAATGGGGGATCATAAATGGGGGGGTGGCGAGTGTGGTCCGAAAAGGTACCCAAACGGTACCTAAACGAGCCCCCTGGGGCTCTGGAGGGGCCCGAAAGGGGCACGAACGGGGACCTTTTCTGACCCCCCCACCTGTGACCCCCCCCCCATGAAGCCACGCCCGATCCTGGGGTCGACGTCGTGAAAAAATCATGACGCTGGCGGTCTGGGTCATGACGGCCGATGGTCTGCGGGCCTCGGGCCCGGGTGTCGCCGCCTGCGCTGGCCCACTCGTCGCGGGGCGGGGCCCCCCCCTTGCCGGGTGCTCCGCCCCGCAAATGGGGGCGCCCGGCATCTCGCCAGCCCGAGGCCTCTCGGCCGATCTGCGGGCGCGGTGTCGCCGCTTCCAGGCCAAAGGCCCCGCCCCCCGACCAGGCACGGTGGGCGGAGGGGTTCTCCGAAGGGCTTCGGCGACCCGCCCTCCTCCTCCTCCTCCTCCTCCTCCTCCTCCTCCTCCTCCTCCTCCTCCTCCTCCTCCTCTTCCTCCTCCTCCTCGGGTCGCCTACGGCCCCAGGGGAAACCGTGCAAGGGTACGCGGCGGCGGCTTGCCCCAGCGCGGGCGGTCAAGGCCGAGGCGCCGGCAGGCCGTCAGGGGCGCAGGCCTTAACGTGCGATGTCGGGCGATGTCTGCGCCGTCGGGGAGCCCGCTCAAGGTCGAGGAGGAGGAGGAGGAGGAGGAGGAGGAGGAGGAGGAGGAGGAGGAGGAAGAGGAGCAGAACGAGCAGACGGAGGTTGAGGAGGAGGAGCCGGAGGAGGAGGAGGAGGGCGATCCACGCGGCGTCAGAGACCCCGCCGCGCAGGCCGTCACGGCAGGGCCCCGCCGTACCCCCCCGTCGTGACCCTTCACCGGCTTAGGTGCCCCGATACGCCCGTGTTGGAACGCAGCACGTGCCGTGTTCAAAGCGTCGGGGGTGGTCACGTCGCCTGCTTGCTCGGCACGTGTTGCCCGCGTTGTGGCGAACGCATCGCGCCAGACCTGCGCTTCGAATCGACGTGTTGCGCTCCGTGTCGACACGCTGCGGGCTGCGTGTTGCGTATCGGGGCAGCCGAGCTCACCAGGAAGCCCTCCCCGCGCGCCGGGGCGCCGCGCTCCGGAGACCCCCACGTCGTGTTCTCCGAGGGCAACAAGGTGGAGTACTACAGCAGCACCAACGGCACCTGGATTCCCACCAGGGTCACCTACGTGGACGAGGACGGAAGAAGAAATCAAGAGCATGAACATACACTCTCGGAGGCCCGCGCGGATTTCCTCGGATCGGCGCTGGGACCACCCTGGCGCGCTCCGCGCGCCAGGGATGGCAGTCCAGAGCCCTGACGTCATGCCATTTCTTCACAACGTGGACCCTCGGATGTCGCGACCCGTTCCCTCGGGCCGCTTTGCACGGGGCTCTTGTTACCAATGGGACCCCTCCACCTCCCTCCTTCCTTCCCGTTGTCTTCCTCGTGTTCAGACTCGGACCACTCATAATCATATTCGCTCACACTCAGAGTCGCTCAGGCTCGTCAGACTCACCCACAGTCATAACACTCAGCTCACACTGAGATCACTCAGGCTCAGACTCACTCACACTCAGACTCACTGACACTCAGATCCAGTGATGCTCTAACCCCACTCTCACTCATATTCACTTATATCCAGACTTGCTCATGCTCAGCTTCACTCATACGCAGATCTCTCCCACTCATCCCTCATACCCAGCCAGGTGATACACAGACTCATATGCACATACCACTTGCAGCATGGTTATTCTCACGCGCGCAGCACGGCCACCGCCACATAGCAGGCGTGGCATTTGGGCACCTAAAAGAAGGGGCCGCCAGGGGGTTGTTACACTCGCCCATACGCGGCCAGATTGTGGGGGTTGTCTCGGGCGGTGCCTGTTTCATGGCCCAGGCTCCTTTGCTTACCGAGCAGATCGTGAGGATGCCCCGAGCGAGGCGCTCGTTCCAGCATTAAATCGGGCCTGTCCCTCCACAGGGGGAATATTCAAACACTGTCAAACAAAAATCAGTATTGGGACGATTTGTTTAGTATTTTTGAATTTCAGCTGAGCATTTTTGGAGTATTTTTAATTGTCCATCCCAACTCCGCCTGTAGGGGGACATGCCCGGCGCAATTCTGGCACCCGAGGGGGCGCCGCCAGGGGTCTATCACGCTTGCCGCTTCGCGGCCAAGCTGTGGAGATGCCCCACAAGCGGTCTGCCTGTTCGGGTTCGCGAGGGACCCCAGAGGCCGAAAACAGGGGGGGGGCCGTTGACTATTCGGTGATCGCAAACATGGATTAAGGGGGCGTGGATTAGCGACGGGTCCCGTTCCCATGGGGAATCGCGGATTTCCGCCATCGCACGAGGAGGCACTGGCCACATTCTGGGGAGGGCACCTCCCACGAACCATGGATTTGGCGACCGCGCGCCAAATCGATGGATCGCAAATCCATGTTTGCGCGCTCCCGAGATTAGAGTGGCAACAAGCTGCATGCCCACAAGGTTTCGGAGGTCTGCGTGGACTTCGTGGATCTCTGGGCTGGACCCCCTCCCTGGAGCGCGCGGAGCGCGCCAGGGGCAGCGCTGGAGGCGCCGCCTGGGGGGCCCCAGCGCCAATCCGAGGAGTCCGCGCGGACCTCCTAGAGTTTATGTTCATACCATTGCCCAGACATCCGACGTCTCGATTTTTTCGAGACACGGGCCCCCGACCTCCCGACCACTTCCCCAGGACCGGTTCTTCATCCCGAGTCGTTTTTGGACGGTCCCGAGGCCCAGCGAGGACCCCGGGAGGCCGAAAACTATGAAAAACCTGCGTCTCGATTTTTGTCGAGACGCCCGGTGTCTGGGTGTCTGCCCCCGTATCTGTGGAGGAGACGGGCGCCGTGACGGTGGACGTGAAGCCGGGGCTGCCGATGAGCTTGCGCGAGCAGCGCTCGCGCCTCCGCCCCCGCACCCGGCCGAGCGCGCAGCACCTGGAGTGGGGCCGGGCCGTGCTGCGCGAGGGCCGGCTGGCGGAGGACGCGGGCATGCAGGAAACCAAGCAGTGGCGAAGCGTCCTGGCGTGCCCATACAATCAGGGCGCTGAAGAAGGAACCCTTCTCGTTGGGGAGGGGCCCGGTGTTCCTTGATTGTTTTACAGCTTGGCTTGGGTTTTCCTGAGGTTTTCGATGGGAAATCGAAGCTTAACTTTTGGGATCAAGGGGCCTCGTTCCTTATGTAAGGTTCCTCAGGGCAACGCCCCGACTGTAGTCCTACCAAAGAATGTTCCAAGAACCTGTTTGTGGTTCCCGCGAGCTGTTCTTCGAGGAGTTCTGGTTGGGACTGTCTTGCTTTGCCACATCGGGCTCATGTTCTAAGAACACTGCTTTTTGTTCTGAGAGCATTGCTGGGTTCTCAGAACATGTCGTGGTAGGGCTATAGGAATGCCGGGACGGTCGGCCCCTGCTCAGAGGAAGCCCCCTTCGAGGATCGAAGGAGTCCAGGCCTCTTCCTCGGCGGGAGGCCGGCGGGAGGCGGCGGAAGCAAAACGAGGCCGCTGCCGCAGGCGGAAGCCGGCGGAAGCTCGGCGGAAGCAAACAGCTGCATCCCAACTGGCGGAAGCTCGGCGGCAGCTCGGCGGAAGCTCGGCGGAAGCTCGGCGGAAGCTCGGCGGAAGCTCGGCGGAAGCTCGGCGGAAGCCCGGCGGAAGCTCGGCGGAAGCAAACGGTGGTTAGTCCAGGATTTCCTGAACTTGCCAGGTTAAAAGACTCTCTTCCACATCTATTGGTCGTTGATTGTTTTCCCGTGTTGCGGTCGTTACCCTGGGGGGACGGGCGGGAGCCCGGGTAACGGTAACGCTTGGGCGGGGTGGGGCACGTCGGGGCGGGGGTGGCCAGCATGTGTGTGCATGTGGGGGGGCGGCCCGGCGCATGTCGGACCAATCCCAACTGATTGGTGCCATTTCCACCCAGCCAGGCCACTTCTCAACAGGCCCAAAACCAACCGGTACCAAGTACAACCAGCAGTCTTGAGCCGACGACGCTGTTCTCTGTGTAAAGCACCCTACTACGATTCAGAAGTCAGACGCACGCCTTAAGTGAATACGCATTCATTCTGGCAGACAGTGGTGCCACGATGGGAACTTATACCCGTTTCCAACATCTGGGATCTGGATTGTTCTGGAACTGGAGCTCTGCGGCTCGGCGTATGGTTACAGCACAGATTTCGTACTACGACGGTTGCGTCAAGCTTCGCGTTGCGTGTTTTTTCATGTGAGAGTTGTGGGAGTGCCATCGCGGCAAACAGCAACGTATTCAACAACGAAGTCAGTAAGAAGCTCATAGTGTACATACAACAACTTCAGTTGTCAAGTGAAGCCAGGAAGCAGGCTTCATGTGCGCAAGTTGCCCCCAAAAACTGTTCCATGGCGTATGACGCATCGAGGGGTTCGTAATATGGCGTAGTGCTGGTGTGCACAGCACATGGTATTATCATGTTCTCTAATGTGGGAACGTTCTATTGTCTGTTGTTTCAATGCTTTAGTGCTTGTTGACTTGTAATAGATGTTTTTTTATACTGTGACCATACGTGTGTTCGTTCAGGTGTATGTTGTCAAGTTTCATCGTATTTGAACTGTGCGATATTTTTTTTGAACGGGTCCACTTTAAAATGCGCCGATCCAAGCAGACCGTTTCATTATTTGATCCCTGATGTGCTTGTCAGTCGGAATTCGTTGGGGCATGTGCCGATCCCAGCCTTCTGCATATGTATTTGATTTCTGTGTTTCCAGTGGGGATTCAAGAGGGCACGCGCCGATCCAGCAAGCTTTGCTTGAGAATGTGTTGTGTGATCGTCAGCGCGACTTTACTAGGGCATGCGCTGACTTCCGCCTCCCTCATAATCATGTAATCTTCGTTTTCCGTTGGCCATCGTGGGCCCCACTCAGTGTGCTAGCAGTAACAATCGGTGTTGCCAGGCTGCGCAGTTCAACTCAGGTTGTGCCACCTATGTTGTGTAGTCTACGTGGCGCACTATAGGTGGTGAATTCTGAAACACGTTATATACGTATCTGCTTTGCCGTCTATGTGCCGTGTGATGCAATTCACGCGGTGCAACTCATGTGTCGTGCAAATGATGTGGTGCAATAGTTGTCTCGCAACCTATGTGGTGCAACAGAGGTTGTGCAATCCATGTGGTGCAATCGATGCTGTTCATTCTATGGTGTGCACTGGGGGGTGCAGCCTATGCTGTGCAACCTAGGTTGTGCAGCATACGTGGTGCTGCGGTGCAATCTTTGCTGCGCTAACGTGCTCGTCTATGCAGTGTGAGCTATGTGGGGCAAGCTACGTGATGCAAATGATGTGGCAAGAGCTAGCGTTCTGACGTATGTGGAGCGAACTACGTGGTGTAAGCTAGTTGGTGAAGGCTATGTGCTGGGAGCCAACGTGCTCACTTGTGTGGTGCCAGTTATGTAGTGTAAACTATGAGGTTACAACCGATTGGATTGCAATCCATTGTGATGCTATCGGTTGGGTTGCAGTTAATTGGATTGCAGCCGTGTAGGCTAAATGGTGCCATCTATCTGGTTGCATCTACGCGTTGCAATCAACTGCATTGCGACCGATTTGGCTGCACTGCGCAACAGTGCCCAGGCGATGGGCGGCGACGAGGTGGCGACGGGACGGCGAAGGCGGGAACATAGCCGCCAAACCGACCACACGGCTCAAACGACGGGCGGCGACGAGGTGGCGACGGGGCGGCGACGTGGGGAAAATAGCCGCCAGACCGACCGCACGGCCCAGTTCCCTTAGGAGAAGCAAGAACCCTTCAGTGCAAGCACTGTTCAGGGAATTCTTCAAGAGGAATTCAGTCGGACACGCGCTGGTCCCAGCTTCCCGCAAAGTTCTTTCATATGTGACCTATACAACCACCCTTCGGGTGATAGGGGGTTGTGGGGCGGGGGTGAAAGAACCAACTGCTGGCAAACGATGGGTGTGATGATGACGATGCTGGTGACGCGCCCTCGGATTAGCGACGGTGCGATCTCACTATCGATTGTTTTATCGACATCGCTACCGATCTCACAACGAATGCAATGCCACAATCGACCTCACTGTCGATCTCACTTTTGATCTTACTATCCATCCCATTCCTGCGATCTCGTTATCGGTCACGCTATCGACTTCGTTATCGATATCAGAGCGGGATACCCCCAGCCACCGCCCGCCCACCGCCGTCTGAACAACGAGGGGACACCAACGGGACACCAACGGGACACGAACGGGACACCACAGGACACCACGGCAGGACACCACGGCAGGACACCCTGGGCCAGCGTGCGCCCACCGGGGGCTGAGGGGCGGTCCACTGCATCCGAATCGCCCCAGCGACGGCGGGGTCATCCCTCTCGCGCGTCCACGCAGCTTCGCCTCGCCCGCACTCACGACACGAGCACGAAATAGGAACCGAGTTCCGATCTCCCGGTGGGGGGCCCTCCGTTCCACTGCGATCTCACCCCCCCAACCTCCGATTGCTTGGCAATCGGAATTCAGGAGGACACACGCGGGCCTCCGCCCCCGCAGAACTCTCAACATGTGATGTGTTTGGCGATCGGATTTCAATCGGTGACGCGCTGGTCCCACCCTCCCCTAGAGTACCATAATTTGCGATGTGTGTTTCCACCGGGATCCAATTTGAAACGATTTGTTCCCAGCCTCCCGCAAAAAGGGCGCTGATTTCAGCATCCAGAATCGTGTTTTAATGCTCCATGTGTTTGCCACGAGGCTTTCAGTAGGAAATCCGTCGGCCCCAGCTCTCCAAATTGTTGACGCTTCGCGAATCCTTACCAGCCCATCCAGAAACGATGCCCAGAGGAATTGCGTCGATCAGGGAAGTGGGCAGCACGCAGAGGAAGCCATTCTGAGACATCTTGGGATATCTTGAGCCATCTTGGAGGTCATCTTGGGCTCTCCCAGGCGCTCTTGGAGTCATCTTAATCAGTGCCCCCCCCCAAGAGGCCAACATGTGGCTAAAACCTTAGTGCAAACAATGGTTTGACATTATCGCCGAGGCCTCTGGGAGCACCTTGGGTGCCTCTGGGGGGTCTCTTGGGGCCTCTTGGGGGTCTCTTGGGAGCCTCCTGGGGGCATCCTGGGGGCCTCTTGGGGCTTCCTGGCCACCTCTTGGGGCCCTCTTGGGGCACCCTTGGGAGCCTTGGGGGCCATCTTTGGGCCATCTTGGGTGAGATCGATCACAGGAGGGCGGGTTACTAATTACAGGCCCCTCCCAGCAGGCGAACATAGGGCCCAAACCCTAGTAAAACCAATGATTTCCGCTTCCTCGCTGAGGCCGTTTCGGACGCCCTGACACCTCGCGACCCCCCCCGTACAGGTCCAGAAGGAGGGGGTAGGGGGAGGGGTAAACCCCTCCCCGCAGAGGAAAAAGGAGGGGTGGAAGAGGAAACTCCCTAAACCACCGACACCCAGAGGGCTGGTGGGATTATTGCGAAGGCCTTACGGCCGGTGCCGCCGACCCTGGAGGGCGACCCATGCGTTCTCTAATGTGGCGGGGGGGGGCTCTTGGGGCTTCCTGGGGGCCTCTTGGGGGTCTCGTGGTGGCCTCTTGGGGGCATCTTGGGGCTTCCTGGGAGCCTCTGTCGCCGAGGGCTCGTCGGGCCCCCCGTCTGGGCACCCCGTTGGAGCCGTTTGGGGAGCCTCTGGGGCCATCTTGGAGGCATCTTGGGCGGTCTTGAGGCTCTCTTGGGTCATTTTGGGTAGGGGGAGGGGTAAACCCCTCCCCGAAGGGGAAAAAGGAGGGGTGGAAGAGGAAACTCCCTAAACCACCGACGCCCAGAGGGCTGGTGGGATTATTATTGAATATCCGATGGTCTTCCAAGCGGTTTCAATAGGAAATGCGCTGGTCCCAGCCTCCCGCATACTGCTTTTCTTTCAATACGCATTCACAAGGGGATGCGCCGATCCCAGCCTCCCATCATAATCTTATGAGGATGTGTTAGTTCCGCCATCCGGAATTGATTGGGAAACGACCTCCGGGGATACGGTGCGCCCTCACTCGAAGCGCTGCGCTGAGTGGTTGGAGAATCCTGCGCCGCAGGAAGGGAGGCGGGGGCCGAACGAGGCGGCGGCGACCTCGGGGGCTGAGGTTGCTCGATCGGTCCCCCTCTCTCCTCACATGGGCTCAAGGGGGGGGGCCTTCCGAGCCCCCGAGGGCCCGCAGCGCCTTCTGGAAGTGCCGTTCTCGGTGGCCCGGAGAGGAGCCCACGGCCGCGGGAAAGGAAGCGGGGACCGAGCGACTCGGCGGCGGCAGCGGAGGGCAAGGTGACCGGACCGATTTGGCTCGGAGGTTGATAGACCTCCTGCCACGTCGGTTAGCGAATTGGCCGTTATCGGTTCGCGAGAGGGCGTCGCGGCCGTCATTCCTGCGGGTCCAGGTCCGTCGGTGTCGGTCTTAAGCCGTTTTCGCTAAAGGGAGGTTTACTAAAGGCAGGGTTGTCCACCGCCGATTGGCCCCTCCTTTGTCCCTCCCCATGGGTTCGGGCTCCCCCACCCAAGCCCCCTCGGGCGCGAATCGCTCCCATTGAGAGCGTCGCTCTCGCGGGCTTGGAGAACCTCGCGCCGCGGGAAGGGAAGAGGGGGCCGAGCGAATCGGCGGCGGCGGTGGCGGAGGGCAAGGTGACTTGATCGGCCCGCCTGTCTTTCCCCGCGTGTTCGGTCCCCCCCTCCCGAGCCTCCGAGGGCGCGAAACGTTTGTTGGAAGTGTCGCCCTCAGGGGCTTGGAGAATCCAGCGCCCGCAGGAAAAGGAGGCGGGGGCCGGACAATCCGGCGGCGGCAGCAAAGGGCAAGGAGACCCGTTCGGCCCCATGGATTCGGGGGCCCCGCGGGCCCCCGAGGGCGCGAAACGCTTCCATCGAAAGCGTTGCCCTCGAGGGCTTGGAGAATCCAGTGTCGCAGGAAGCGGCGCGGGGGGCGAACGACTCGGCGGTGGCGTCGGAGGGCAAGGCGATTCGGTCGGCCAGCTCTTCCCTCCCCATGGAATCGAGGCCCCCCGGGCCCCGAGGGCACGAAACGCTTCCACTGGAAGCGTCGCCCCCGGGGGCTGGGGGAGACCCGCGCCTGCAGGAAAGGGCGCGGGGGCCGAGCGACTCGGCGGCGACGGCGGGGGGGCTCGGAGGCGCGTTCGCCTCGCCTCTCCCTCTCCGTTAGCCTCCCCTTCGAGCCTTGGAGGGCGCGAGGCGCTTCCCTTGGGGGCTGGGCGGAACTCGCGCCGCGTAGCGGGGGGCGGGGGCCGAGCGAATCGGCGGCGGCAGCGGAGGGCAAGGTGACTCGCTCGGCCCGCCTCCGCTCCCCCCCCGTGGGTTCGGGGGCTCCGCGGGCCACCGACGGCGCGAAACGTTTCCATCGGAAGTGTCGCCCTCGGGGGCTGGGGGAAGCCCGCGCCCGTGGGAGAGGGCGCGGGGGCCGAGCGATTCGGCGGCGACGGCGGAGGGCAACGCGACCCATTTGGCCGCCCTCTCCCCCTCATGGGTTCGGGGGTTTCGCGAGCCCCCGAGGGCGCGAACCGCTTCCATCGAAAGCGTCGCCCCCGGGGGGCGCCCGCGCGAGAGGGCGCGGGGGCCGAGCGAATCGGCGGCAGCCACGGAGGGTAAGGTGACTCGTTTCTGCCCCCTCCGTCTCCATGGGCACGGGGGCTCTCCGATCTCCCGAGAATCTTGAACGCCTCCATTGGGCTTGCTGCCTTCGGGGGCATGGAGAATCCCGCGCCCGCAAGGGCGCCAAACGACTCGTCGCATGGCTGTGCTGGCGGCTGGGCGTAAACATGCCTCCCCGTCCGTCATTCTTACAATCAAGGCGTTGACCTGAGGAACCCTAAATACGGAACGAGGCCCCCTTTTTTCTCCATAAATTAAGCTTCGAATTCCGATCGAAGGCCCAAGGGAAACCTAAGGCGAGCTGCGAAACAGCTAAGGAACATCGAGCCGCTCCCAAGCGAAAAGGGTTCCTTCTTCAGCGCCCCGGCTGTCTGCAGCAAATGCATGACCGTGGAGTCGGCCGCGGAGAAACCCGCCCGCCCTTTGGGCGCAGCTTCCGCCGGTTCGCGCGACCCACCCAGTTTCATCCGTTTGGGCTGGGCAAGTCCGCACTCGCGCCCGCGGCGCGTTGCCGGCGCGCGCGAAGGAAGACGCCGCAGAGGGCCGCAAACGACGGGCCCCCGAGGAACCTGAAAGAATTTCGCAAGAAGGTTTGTAGGAACCACGGAGGAAGTTCGGAGGAGTCCCAAGTGTTTTCTTTTCAAGATTCTTGCAGGAATCTGTTTTCCAGGAGTCTTTGAGGAGCCTCGACGGAATATTTACAGAGCCGCTAAGGAGACTCCAAGGCGATTCGAATTTGCACCCGTTCGTTTAGGATGTGAACCAGAATGGCGCTGGAATCCGCCCCAATCGGTTGTGTTCTGTCCCGCTGTCGGGCCCAAGTTTTCTTTACGTGCGATCGTTACCGCTACCGGGTGGGAGGCGGACTGGTGTTTTGCCCGGGCAGCCGGTAGATGAGACATGCTACTTCAGAAGCCAGAGTCGCAGAGGACACAGGCAAGCTCTGGCCTGTATCGAGGCCAGAATTTCGTCCATGTCCACCGCGTCCTTGGCGCTCGGCACCCCTACCCCGCAAATCGCAGACGCCCTGGGTATGTATGTACATATATATATATATATACATATGTATATACATTTATGTACACATATATAGTTAGATATACATGCATGCATACACACATACATACAACTACAAAATACACATACATGTATAAACATATACATGTATATCTATATTTGTACAGCTATATTGATATGGGCACTGACCGGATTTCGGCCGACGTACGTCAAATTGGCATGCCTCTGTTGGCGTTTCGGGGGTGCGCTGCGATCTTGGCCAGGTCTGGGGCCTGGAGGGCTCCCAAACCCTAGCGCTCCTCACCCCTGCCCCTGCGAGCAGCGCAGACGTGGAGAATGTAGGCCCGCGCGCACGTACAGATCCATTGCGTCTCGGAGTTTCGGATTTCCTTCCCCAGAAGTAGACCCGAAGCGCGGGACATGGACAGAATCTGGCACCTATCGACGCCAGATGTTCGTCCATGTCCACCGCGGCCTGTGTTTTTTGGGGGGCACCCCTTGCCAAAACAATCCGAAACGCCGTGGACATGGGTAGACGCCAGTCGTTGAAAGTAGATTCTTCTGGATTCCCGGATCCCAGCCTACTCCGCGATGTTTTACTTCAAGAGTCGATCTGCTCTTGCTGTGGCTTGCTGTTCTTTTGGGAGGGCCTGGACCCGATCTACTCCAGTCGCCTTCCTGCTTCGTGCCTGTTTGAACTTACTGCTTCTGACCGGCGTGTTTTTTGGCACTGGTCGGCTGCCAGGCGACGCGAACTGAAAACGACACGCCGCGGCCGCCGCTCCCAGGGGGAGCGCTCAAGCAGTGGCGAAGCGTCTGGGCTCGCCTATAGCCCCACTGAACACTGTTCTAAGAACCTCTTGTGGTTCCCACGAAATGTTCTTAGAACATTTCTGGCGGGGTCTGTCTTGTTTTACCACATCGGGCTTATGTTCTAAGAAAACTGTTTTTGTTCTTGGAACATTTTTGGGTTCCAAGAACATTTCGTGGTAGGACTATAGAAATGCCGGGACGGTCGGTCCCTGCTCAGAGCGCGGCGACGCTGGCCAGGCCCTGGGCCCCGGAAGGGCCCCCAGAAGCCATCCTCGCAGGGCCCCGCCCTCGCCTTCGTGCGAGCCGCGCTGGCGTCGAGGCCCCGCGCCCGCGCGCCTGTAAGTCGGGAGGGGAAAAAGACACACCGACGCAAGGCATCGTCGGCTCGCAGGCAAGTATGTGGGAAAAGATGGGAAGTGTGGGGGGGAAGACGAACATCCAGAAAGCATGGGAAGATCTGGGGAAGGCTGTTATACACTGTTTGGGAGAGAGGCTGGGAGAGTAGATGGGAAGATATATGAGGTATGGGGAGAGACTGGAAGAGTGTGAGTATTTGCTTGTGTGCCCCTGGGCCCCTCCAGCAAAGCTGGCCCGCGGAGGAGTCGCGCGCCATCTTCCTCCGCCACGCCGCGCCCGCCCGCCCGGGCCAGGGGCCCGCCGCCCGCGCCCTGCCGAGCGAGGCGCTGCCGCACGCCGCGGCGGAGCTGGACGCCGCGCTGGGCACCTGCGGCTCGGTGCCCCCCCCCCCCCCCCCGGGAGGGCCGGGAGCCCAGGTTCTCAAAGTTCCCCAAAGTTTTTCTCAAAGGTTCCCAAAGGAAATCTCAAAGATTTCCTCAAAGTTCCTCAAAGTTTTTTTTCAAAGTTTTCCTAAAAGTTTTTCTCAAAGAGTTCCTGAAATTTCCCAAAGATTTGTCTCACAGTTTTCCTCAAAGTTTCTCAAAGAAACCGAGACGGAGGAGTTTCTCCCAGTTTTTGGCCTCCTGGGGCCCTCGTCGGGCCCCGGGAGCGTCAAGAAACGACTCGGGAGGAGGAGGGGGGGGGGGGAGGAGGAGGAGGAGGAGGGGAGGAGGAGGAGGAGGGGAGGAGGAGGAGGAGGAGGAGGAGGAGGAGGAGGAGGAGGAGTTTCTCCCAGTTTTTGGCCTCCTGAGGGGCCCTCGCCGGGCCCCGGAAGCGTCAAGACACGACTCGGGAGGAAGCACGCGGGTCCTGGGGAAGGGGTCGAGGCTTCCGGGGACCTCGCATCGAAAAAAGCACGACGTCGGATCGCTGTTAAGCGAGCGGGGCCCCAGAGGTCCTGGCGCCTCGAGTTTTTGTCTCTCTTCCAGCCCGGCGTCGTCGCCCGGCCTATCGGGCCCGGGGGGGGCCCTCGCAGATGGATTCCGGCGCGCTTCAAGAGGACGCCGGGAGAGGATGGGATCTGGGGCTTCTTCCCAGACATCGGGCGTCTCGAAAAAATCGAGACGGGAGTTTTTCATCGTTTTCGGCCTCTCGGGGCCCTCACCGGGCCTCGGGACCGTCAAAAAACGACTCGGGATGAAAAACCGGTTCTGGGGAAGTGGTCGGGAGGTCGGGGGCCCGTGTCTCGAAAAAATCGCGACGTCGGATGTCTGGGTGGGGCTTCTGTGTGCGATGTCGTGCGAGGTGTCGTTTTTGCTCACGCCGTCGGATCTCAGGGGGCACCAGACGGTGCGGCGCGAAGAAGAGACGACGGCATGAGCACAAGTTTTCGGAGACCCGCGCGGATCTCGTGGATCGGCGCTGGGCCCCCCTGGCGATGCCTCTGGCGGCGCCTCTGGCGCGCTCCGCGCGCCATGCAGGGAGGGGGGTCCAGCGCCGATCCAAGAACTCCAAGCGGACCTCCGAAAGTTTATCTTTCTGCCGCTTGTTGCCGCTCTAAGGAACGGCCCCCCCGTGACTTCGAGATTCGGGCGTTGTGCTTTTGTTTCTCACCGGGTGTTGTCGTGAGGTTTCGGGCCCTCCGCGACGGATCGATCCGGTTCGGAGAATGCGAGAATGCAGCAAAAGGGTAAGATGTTCTCTGTGCTTTTGTTCCGCCACGGCGGATCTCAGGGGACCGCATCGAGGGCCAACGGGGGAAAAGAACATCCCCGGCAATTTGATGTAATCCCCAGAAAAATTGCACTCTCCCTGGCGGAGGTTCCTCAGGATTATCGGAGAGATGTTTG